GATGTATCAAGACAAGCCTGTGGGAGTTGAATTCTTTTCTTATGCAAACGCTTTCTTTTGTTCCAATAAATTTGCATAGATGCTGGCCACGTGAGTGAAAACGCTCTATTGTGTCTAAGGGCCTGTTTACATGGAGTGGGGGACCCCGGTCTAGTGGGGTAAGTTTCTTTTGGTTTCACGCTCTGGGGGAAACAAAACAAAAGAAACTTACCCCACTAGACCGGGGTCCCCCACTCCATGTAAACAGGGTCTAAAAGTACACAAGAGTGACCACGAGAGACTACGAGTGATCACGAATCACCACGAATGACCACGAGCGAATGAAAAAATGACTGAATGAATGAAAACTTTATTTACGTATCAATGTGTTTAACTTTACAGCTAATGGGGGACACATAGACGATAATTATACATTCATAAAACGGACATAATAAAAATTATAAAAAAGACCATGTACATTCTTTATATCTTTCCATCACTAAAATTATTAAAACCACTGAACTCACAATTCTTTTCCACAGGTGGATTACGACTATGCTGGGGATATGTACGAATCAGTTCACGAGTCCAGATAGGTCGACTTTGCTAATATTTCGCGTTAATTTAAAACCGTTCTTCTGAGGAGGCCGTAAAAGAAAAGTGTTACAAAGGTGGTCGTTACAGAAAAAAGCTTTGAAATGGCTTTGTGCGAGTGATTCTTTCCCCTTTCAGCCACGGTGGCCCGTCTGCGATGATTTTTTTCATTTCTTGTTATTATCACTTGTTTTCTGCATGAAACAGACTTAAGATCCGACAACTGTCCGGCATGGTCAGAGAAGTTTACACTTAATTTGCGACCACTTCCGAATCGTCGCTTTCTAGGTGTTCGGTTAGGAGCAGGTTCGAGCCGATTGTTTCCTTCACTGATAACATATTTTCACTGACATTTATTTTGTTTGTGTTTCACATGACACACTTACATTGATTATCATTTTAAAGTGTACGTGACTTAATTATCTACCCCTCCGCTTTGCAATATCATTTTCGGATTACCGTTTAAATTTTCACCATTTTAAGCAAGTGAAGTATGTTTATTTTACAACAAAACAATAAATGCTAATAAAAAAACGCGAAGAAGTAACAAAGCAAGGTTTCTGTAAAATACTTTAAAGAAAACTCCGTCCTCGGGAAAGTCTCTCATTAGAATTTATTTCCTTAAGTGGGTGGGGTGGGGGGTGAGTGCTTATTTGAGTTTGATTGGGAGGAGGAGGGGGTGGGCGCTTATTCGAGGCTGGGCGCTTATTAACGTTTTCGGCCTTTAGGATGGGTGCTTATTCGAGGTGGGCGCTAATTCGAGGTTGAGCGCTTATTCGAATAAATACGGTTCCTGGACAGCGTATTGCCAAGATAGATGAACTAATGTTAGCTGCTTGGAGTTTAGTGCCATTTACAAAAATACATTCCTGGAACTGGTTGTTACATGACGTTATCTTGTACACCAGCCTGGGCAAAGCTACCGACAGCTGAGTTAAAGAAAGCATTGTAAGTTACAGTCATAAGCTTTAAACTAAATGTATCGGTCAGATTTCAGGGCTAGTCACATTATCGTAATCTTTCTCTGTATTTCCCCTACTTTTGTCCAAAGCCATCCTTTCAGTCCCACCCGGTTTGTACGTACATATTTTTATTCTGTAATACTTATACCGAATGGTACGGTAGCCAGTCCACGTCAAGCACGTTACATATACAAATAAATGTCCGAGGAAACTTCTATAAAGTCATAAAAAGTTTATACTCAAACTCTAACTGTTCTATTAGGATTGGAAATAACCAAATACAACCTTTTCAATACACTAGAGGTGTGCGTCAAGGCTGCATTTTAACCCCACTTCTCTTCAACCTATACGTTAATGATCTAGCTTTTTCATTCAACAATATTTTATCTGATCCGTTTGTGCTACTAAATGGCACCAAACTCAATTCTCTTTTTTATGCTGACGACCTTATTATATTATCACGATCGAAACTAGGATTACAAAATTGCCTAAACAAATTGTCTTCATATTGCAACTCCTGGATGCTTAAAATCAAGCCCAAGAAAACCAAAATAATGGTTTTCCAAAAAGGCNTGGTCTCACCGATTTTAACTTACAACAGTGAAGTTTGGGGTGCCTTTGTGAAATCAGATTTTAAGTCATGGGATAACTCCGGAATCGAAAAAACTCATTTGCACTTCTGTAAACGATATTTAGAAGTCCATAACAAGTCATCCAATGTTGCATGCAGATCTGAACTTGGCAGATTCCCTCTGATCATTGATATAAATAACAAGATACTTAATTACTTAAACTATCTCCAAGAAAAAGATGAAAATTCTATAGTTAAACAATCTTTAAAAATATCTGTTGACCTTTATCATAGTGGTCAAAATAGTTTTTACTCCAGTCTTAAGAAGATGACTGACTACTATGATTTCCCAGGCTTTAATTGTAATTTACTGAATAAATGTAAAATTAAGCAATATGTAGATCTTATGCAAAAGAAATATATCACTTACTGGAATCATACCCTTCAACATTCACAAAAACTTAACTTTTATTATAAAATCAAAACGAATTATAGCCCTTCTGTCTACCTAGATTTAACAAGAAAGAACCCTTCTAGGAAAACATTAGTGAAACTGAGAATAAGCAGTCACAAACTTAGGATTGAGACAGGTAGATACGACAATCTACCACGTGACGAAAGGTTATGCAATCTCTGCAATTGTAACAGAATTGAAGATGAAACTCACTTTTTATTAGATTGTCCAAGTTTTTCTTCCATAAGAGATATGTTCTTCTCTAAACTAGATCCTAAAATACCGTTTCTGCGACTACAATCACATGAGTCCTTATTATCACATCTGATGAATTCTCCTGACGAAATTATTAACATCCAATTAATTTCATTTATATCAACTTGCTTTGAATTGAGAGACAAACTTATCTCCGGAATAATTAATCCTACTGATGGTTAGAAATAAACAATGATTAATAAGTTTCAAATTATTTTAAATATTTAATTTACAAGGAATCAATGAGTAATTTCAAGTAGCTTTTGCAATACTGTAATACTTTGTTATGGTCATGCAAATAAAGCTTATTGTTGTTGTTGTTGTAGCACGTGAACCATAATTCCGTCTAGAAACTGCGGCCTAACAGTGGTGATGAAAGTGGGGAACATCCAAACTTTCACATAATTTTGCGTAGGCCATCACGACTAAACGTGCAGAACGCCTTGGTCAGGTCAACAAGTGTGGTAGAGAGGTTGTAGTGTTGGTACTGATTGATCCAAGACCAGCCGCAAATATTATATCGACTGTTCCTCCGCTGGCGCGAAAGCCACACTGGCGTTCGGGCAAGAGACCTTGTTATGTGCTTTAATTTTGGAAAAAAAAAAACATTAAGAAAAATGCACGTTGCTATGTCTAGATTGAAGATAAAGCTCCTGAAAGCACTGGCAACTGCAAATACTCCCCTCTTTCTCTAGAAACACGTTGCTGGATCATTTCTGACCCCGTCTGAACAACACTGACCAGGGTGGTGCGAGGGGAGGCGCCATAGTGGCACCAAATCCACAGGATAGGCGTTCTGTGGGTACGAAAGTGCAAAATTCTCAACACTTTTCATCCAAGATTGTCGCATGTTGATTGATGAGTCAACTGAGCATGAATATGGCAAGCATTTTGCTTGCAATCGATAGTAGTGCTGTTTCTCTGTAGTTGTCGCGGGAATGCCTGTTTCCATTCCGTTTATACAAGTTTGCAATACTAGCGTCCCTGAAGTCTTGAGGGAGAACACCTTTGCAACAAACAAATTGGCGTGAGCTTTTCAGAACATTTTGGGAGAGTATTTCACCACTTGCTCTTTACATCTCTGCAGAAATGGCGTCTCAGCCTGGATCTTTGCCGGGAGAATTAACAAGAGCTTCATCTATTGGAACTTGTGCTAGGAGGTCAATAGCAGCTTGGGCAATTGATGACGGACGGTTTTACACTTGTTTAACGTGTTCAACCCATTTATCAAAGATCTTTTTGCGCTGCTTTCAAGTTTGGGCTGTCATCGTAGAATCGTCTCGAGGCATTCATCTATGCATTCTGGTGGATTGGCTTTGTCTGCCTTGAGCCAGTTGCTGATCCGAGATGGTCTTGATTAATGAAGGGTAACTTTTTAGAGACTGATGTTTGATTAAGTTGTTACACAAGAAAGTGCTTACGTTTCTGCTCTGAGAGTTTGCTGAATTCCTGTTCTTATTTATCAAACCAGTTCTGTTGTTTCCTAGAGACTGGGCTTCGCTGCTGAAGTGCTGCAGCAAAGATTTCATCCTGTTTTAGTCTTGAAGTGTTCTATCTCTTAGGAGGTTTCTTTCCTTGTGGTGTTCCTTTGGGCTTAATGTGGAGCTTGAGGTCTAGGATAACTAAACGGAGATCTGTCTAGCATTCTTCATCACAGCTTTTGGTCAACGGCTCTTTCAGTTTTTATTATAGATAACATCTCTAACATACATCAGTGTTTGAACCTAGGATGCATCCAGGTTTTGACTTGAAATTAATTTGACTCCACAATTTTTACTTAGATATTCCAGAGGATGTGCTTCTCATTTTTTGTTTCACCCACGTATCTTGGGATATGCATATCAGCTAAGAAATGGCATCGAATGCGCATGTAATTAGCTGACTGTGTCCCTTTTAAGTCATGTGCGCTTCAAGTTTGGGGAAATAAAAGACCATTACTGTCGCATTTCCCGATGTCGCGTTTGCCGTTTCTACCCTCTCGTGCTACAAGAGCAAAATCTAGCTCGGGTATCAAAGTCACCGAGGATCAGAATTTTGTCGCTGATTAACTGGCCAGTCTTTTGTTGCCCAGCCTTCTATTGGGCTTAAAATTGGAAGACGTATGAGTGTGAAGATTATCAGTGTATGACATCTAGGGCAAAGAAAACATAGATTACACCACAATACTTGAGGATAAATTACACTGCATAACTAATAGGGTACGAGTTTATTACAGATTAAAAACCATCATATCCAGCCATGTGATTGTCCTTTTACACTCTCTAGTATTTTGATTGAAATCAAATGTTCACTGGGCATTTCTGAGTCACGCCATTACAGAATAAACTTGCAGCAGCGATAAAGATAGCGAGTTCTGGGTGACAGAGGAACATTGAAAGACATCCCCTCATTTACTTTTTCCTTGTCGATTTCAAATCTGGCCAAGAAAAAACCTTGTGGGCACTCAACTTTATGTAAGTTCAACGACATGATGGAACCAAAGACCTCTGCGAAGTATACGTTCCCATAATCTGTCGCCTTCTCATCACAGTGGACTCTGGCGCTATCCAGTCTGGTTGCCAAGGCCTGCATTAGTTAAAGTGAAAAAACGTTTTAATGTGCTTTGATAGTCTTTCTGTTACTATTTGGATACTATAGTTCATAATTTTCTTCACTTTGGATTTTTAACGTTCATGAAAAAATGTTCTCGTTAAGCGGATTAACGATGAAAAATAAAAAAGGTGATGCCATTCAGCTTTATTTGATTACCCGAAAAATTTGAAGCATCTTTTTAATTAAAGGCAGCTAGGCCCTGTGAGTAAAAATGTAATGACGAAACTGACCCTGGGGAAAACAGTATGTTTGTTCTGTGGAAGTTTTAACGATTAAAACGTCAGATTCAAGGCCCGTTATGGAGGTAAATAACATCAAAAGAGAAAATGATTACCTCAGTTCTTTGAAATTTAGTCCCTTTGAATGGTAATTTACCTGCAACGAGGGGGTATGTGATAAATTCAGCTGGTGCCACCCCTGACGGGCTGCGCCCCCGAGGCGGAACCAGATAAATATATCAGACGCCCCCAAGGGGGAGGTTTCCTAAATCAAAAAGCTTTTAAAAAGCTTTAAATTAATTCTCTAGAAATGCTTTTTCCCAAGAGCCTCCAGTTGTTTGAGGTTGAATTCTAAAATATGGAAATTGATTATTCATGTGGAGTAGTCAAACAGTAGTTTTACCAGAAAGAGATGAGTAACTCAGTGGAAAAAGCATTCTTAACGTTAAGGCAGAGCAGCTTTGGAAACTCTTTTGGACCTTCGAACACAAAAAATTTTTGTGTCAGTCGTCCGACGAGTCGCTTTGCACACCAGGGTGTAATGTTCGCAGGTAGACGTTGGAGATGTTATGTCAAATTTGCTTAAAAGTGACGCGGCAGGTGATGCGAATTTCTAGTTTGTAGGACATTGCGCTGTTACAACTGCCGACGTAAAAAAATGAAGTCCAAGAAAGGTTGATAATTTTGCGCGATAAGGTGTAAGTTTGATACAGTAACTTGGGAAACATACCTATGATTTTCAATCACGTTAAAAGCAAGGTAGTAACAAGGTATGTGGGATCAGGGATTAAAGAGGTGGGATCAGGGATCACAGGTGAAATACCGGGATCAATACCACTTTGGACCTATCAAAAGAGGACCTAAAATCCTGAACCATGTTTAATTGTAACAAGCCATACCTGCCAAGCGACAAGTTGAAACTGACCGCGCAGCTCTAAACAAATTAAATTGCGACCGCTGTTTGAAAATGGAAAGCTAACTATTATGTTAAACATTTGGTGCGTCATGTTCAACGATGATGACGAATAAACTAAAACAAAGTGGTTGAAGAGGTTGTCTCATTTTATTTTAGTTCGTTTTATTCTCCTTGTCATCACTTTCAGTTGACGTTAACTGTTGACTGGACAAGTTTGGGCCGCGCCCTTAAAGAATGAATTTGCAGCAGCGGTAAAGATAGCGAACGCCGGCTGAACCATAGCTTCCCGCCTTCACAAGTTGGAATATGGCAATAAAAAGCCATTTGGCCACTCAACGTTCTGTCGGTCTAAGTACTTAATGTAAAACCCTCTCATCACAGTGCTCTCTGGCGCTATTCAGTCTGTTGGTCAGGGCCTGCATTCGTTAAAGTAACAAAAAAGTTTCTCCCAATGTAAGGGATTCTCAATTCCAGAATCTCGGAAAATTTTGCCTGTGGAAACCGGAATCCTGCGCTTCAGAATCCAGAATACAGCTCATAGAATCTGGAATTTCACTAACGATTGGAATCCAGAATCCAAGTTCCACTGACAACGACTGGAATCCGGAATCCTCAGCGTGGAATACAGTATCCACTGCCGTCTTGGATTCCCTTATATGAGACGAAAAGTTTTAAAGTGATCGTACTTACTTTTACTGTATTTTGCTAGACTCAACTTTCGCGAATTAAATTAGCCGGACGAGGCAGGCGACGAATTTAAAGTGGCACGAAGCAAATGTTCACACAAAAACTAAAAACAAAAAATTTATATAACAGCCTATTGTATTCTGCCTCTCAAAGATCCATTTGGATGAGTTGATGCCATTTGGATGAGCTTGAGAACGACTGAGAACGAGGCCGAGCCACACAAGGCAGGCAGGCTGTCAGAAACAGTGGGGGTCATAAGAGATGGGATTCTGAATCCCTGACCCCACCTCTCGCACTCACGAGACCAGATAGGAAGCCATATTCTCCAATCGATCTAACTACACCAATCGAAACACACTTACAATTTTGAGACAACGCCCGCAAGATCACGTAAATATCGATTTGTTTCACACACAAATCAGTTGACCACCGACACCAGAAATCCAGATTAGGGATTTGTTTTTTCCAATCATGTATTACGTAACGGGCGTATGTCAATGAAAAGCACCATTCTTAGGGGGCAGACCATTAGAAAAGTAATGGTAGATGGGAATTTCGGGCCGTACGAATTGTTTTCTTTCGTTACACACTTGCCTTGCATTTCGTCGTGAAAATGTCTAGCAAGTCCCCTATACTGGTCCTATATCACTGATGTAATAATAATTAAATTTCGACCCTGCTCGCCAGAGAGCCTGCAGCAGATCAGTGGTTAAAACATCCGAATTAGAACTCGGAGGGTCGTCAGTTCGATTCCCACCAAGGGCACGGAATTTTTTCTGAGCTCTCTGGTGTTAGATTTCTCCTTCTTCCAAACAGATATTTTTCGTTGATGTTAATAATAAGAGGCCGGTACAAGAATTTTTCCTTCTGCCACTCGGTATACTAACATAACTTTTCTATAAATGCCGCTTTCCCTTTTTAACTCGATACTTGGGATGTCCAGGTGCTAGTAGCTATCCTACCTCAACCCCTACCCAGAAACATTTGGGGTGTAACCCCACTACCCTGAGGGACCTCTTCTTTTTTTTCGTGGGTCTGCGCTACCCATGACCAACGACTTTGTACCCACGACCCACGACTATTGGACATAAGTTAATCCCGAGAATTTGTATGAGGATATTTTGGCTTAAAGGATTAAGGAGGTAAATTGACTTTATCAACTCAGATCATGAACGTGCATGACTGCGTGAGGCTGAAATTTAGTTACTTTTGTTATTCTCCTCTTACCTGGATTTTAGTTTCAAACTCTCTGATTTTCTGTTTATGGTTACCGCTGTCGAGTGTTAAGAGATCGGCCTGAAAAATAACATAGAACAGCTAAAGTACTATTGCATAAGCACGCAACATCGTATTTGATCAAATAATACGAAAGAACAAATCCCAATTCTCATTTTGTTAACGTTAACTTAAAATAACATGGCGCTTTGCAGCTCTTTGAGACAGTAGTCCATAATGATAAAGCTAACATTTTGAATTCTATTTCCACAAACATATACTTAGAATCATTTAACCTCTGAAGTTGACCCGTATTCAATTTTGCTTTGTCATGTCAGTCTACAGACACAGGATTCCAAATGTTTCATTACTGATTTTCATACTTTCCGATGGATTAGCAAACGTTTCAAATACCTGGTCCCTGAAAAAGGTATCTAAGCCTACCATAGTTTTTGGTTGGATAATGCATGAAAGTGCAGTCTCTGCAGCGTTCAGGGCATTGAAACCTAAACCTTTCTTAAAAAGTGAGAAACTGTAACGCTTGTTCCACAGTGGAATTGCTGGTTGGATCAATACCTCTTTGATGACAATGTTGTATCCGTCCTGGTCTCGAGGATTTAATTTATCTACCACAGTAGTAAAGCAATCTTTAATCGTATTAGTAAGTGATTTACCTATTGTGGTGAAGCCGCTCTCGAGCGACGTTCGAAAGGACAGAAACTACTCATTAGAGCACGTTACGTCAGAGGTGGGAACTAAAGTTCCATCGCCGTGTTCTTTCCTGGTGCTTTTTCCCTCTACTAACAGTAGCTCCTAAATTTTCCGTGGCACTTCTTCCACTTCTTCAGGGGATTCGTCCCTTGGTTTTTGTCTATTATTCGGCATTTTCGTCCTTGGAAGTTTCCACGTACCGTTCGCGAAGAAGACAACAACGCAATGAGGTTGTGCAGGTGCAATACTATCTCACTGATGTGATCTCTCATTGCGGTGACAAGGTAGAATTGCAATTGTCATGAAATCAATTTTTTTGTCTTTGGAACTTACTTAAGACGTTTTTCGATAGTTCTCTCCCCCGCCCTGAGAGTACGTTTTCTTCAGTTTGCTTCCAAATTCCAAGTCTCGGAACATGGCAAATGAAAACAACAACATTGTGCATGACTAAATCATTTATATGCTTCCCAGCTGGTTTAATATATATATATACTTTAACTCACCTTTTCTTTAAGATGTTTGTGAGCTTCATCTAATTTCCCCTCCACTTTAGTTTGCACATCAGTCACTCTACCTTCCATTTTTGTTTTAAAATCACTAATGGCACTTTCATGGTTTGACATATTAAGCGACACAGCTTCAAAATATTTGTTAGCTTCATCCACTTTCTTCTCCATTTGACTTCGCAAATCAATCAGTTCACGTTTAACAGCTTTCTCGACTTCATTCATTTTCATTTCGAGCTTGCTTTGCCTATCAACAGATCGGTCTATTTTTGTTTTAAAATCAATATCGGCAATTTCATGCTTTAACATATTAAGCGACACTTTCTTCCCCAGGTGACTTCGCAAATCAATCAGTTCACGTTTGAGCCCTTTCTCGACTTCATCCATTTTCATTTCGAGCTTGCTTTGCCTTTCAACAGATCGGTCCATTTTTGTTTTAAAATCACTAACGGCACTTTCATGGTTAGACATATTAAGCAACACAGCTTCAAAATATTTGTTAGCTTCATCCACTTTCTTCTCCAGCTGACTTCGTAAATCAATCAGTTCACCTTTCAGACCTTTCTCGACTTCACTCACTTTCATTTCGAGCTTTCTTTGCCTTTCAAAAGATCGGCCCATTGTTGTTATTAAATTGCTAACGGGAATTTCTTGGTTTGACATTCCACTTAACGCAGCAAGAATGACAACAGCAACAGCACAGATAATTCTAGTGAAACTCAGATTCTTCCTCAATTTATCGCTAGTGACGGTTAGCAAGTTTACCCTCTCTTCAAAATGATTTTCTAGGGCCTGAACTCTTTCTTCAAAGCGATTTTGGAGGGCGTGTAATCTGTCTTCAAAATGATTCTGGAGGGCCTGCACTCTTTCTTCAAATTGGTTTTGGACGGCCTGTGCTCTTTCTCCAACTTCAAGTTGAAGGTTTCTTACTTCATCTTTGGTGTCGTTTAATTTGCAGCTATTCAAATGAAGATGATATCTTATCTCGCCTTCAAGGTGTGATTCAAGCACTTCTCTCTGAATCTGAAATTAAACAGGTCTGTTTTGCAATTTTTCTTTTACCCAATAATATTTCTTAAGTGAGGCAGATGTTAATTACTGGTTATGGTCTCATAAAACATCGAGAAAGCTGTAATTCTAAATTTCATAGTGGTGAATACCTTAAAATTGCGGCAATAACCATTCTCTATCCCCCCCCCCCCCAACAAACCCTTAATGCAAAATCCCCCCTTTAAATAACCGCCCCGGTTTCTTTTTTCCAATAATATTTTTTAATTAAGGCAGAGTTTAATTTTTGTTTTTGGTCTCTTAAAAAAACGATAAAACTGAATTTTTAAATAACATAGGAAAGAAAAACTCCTGAACTCATGTAAAATCACCA